TATTTACTGACGATATTATAAGTGTATTTTTTTAACTTTTTTTATATAAAAAATACATATATATGTATATTTTAAATAAATACAAACTTAAAGTAAGTATTATAATAATTAAAAATAAAATATATTACCATATACTAATTCAGAGTGGGTTCAAATTATATGTATTATGAAAGTCTACTTTCCTATTACCAATTACCAAATATGGCATTCTAATAATTCTCATAATAGTAATGGATATGGTGGGTGATTTGGTAAAAACATACTTCATCAACAATTTATGAGTAAAAGGAAGGATGGATATTGCTACATATGTATGTATAAATATATATATATATATATCTATACACTATGACATTACAAGTCATGGCAATTGGATAAAAAGAAGTTGTAATTAATAAGTAAAGTATATGTAATTCATACGTATATAATAATTTATAAAAGAAAAAAAAAAACTTAATTAATTTATAAAATTCAACAATTCGAATATAGTTATGAGACCCCAAATAAATTAGAGTTGTAAGAGAAATCTCGAGATATTATAATGATCGTGAAACTTAATTTTTATGTGTTTGTTATAAATTTTATTGGTTTAAAAGTTAAATAAATACAAATATATATTTCGTCGCCTAAATATAACATGTACTATAGTAATTATCAATTTTAGTATATATATAATTGTTATTTTTGTTTTCATTCAATTTTTAATTTATTAATAATATATTTATAAAAGTAAGATATAATCAATTAAATTAAAATAACTATGATTAATATAACCAAATTCATAAACACTAAAATTAGCTAAAAACTAATTTTATTATTTCAATACCAATTTGTTATCTTTAGAATTTTTTATCACGGATAACGATTCTTAATTGTTGATACTATTGATTGTCACTATTTTTTTTTCATATATTATTAGTATTTTATGTAATTTTTATACTCTAAAATTTAAATTTGTTTATAGTTTAACTCAACATGAGAGATATAATAATATTATATTATTTTCTTAATATTATTTTTTTCTTATTTTTCAAAAACAATATTTTTTTTTTCATTTATAAATCCATTAATAGTCATTTCTTTTTACAAATAGTTTATCTCTTATAAATTCACAAATAATCATATTTTTTTACAAGTATATAATCAACTATACTTTATATAAATATAATTATAATAAATTATTATTAATTATAAAACGATTGTTATTAATAAAACTATCATATTTTTATTCAATTTTTCGTTAAATAATTTTTAAATCCGAATGAATTATTTGTATTTACTTAAATTTTAAAACTAATTATTAATGATTAGTTTTTAATGACACTTGTTGCGCAAAATGGTCCTTCCGCTAATATTGAAGGGGCAAGTCTTAAACCTGATTTATTAACTAATTAATTAATTAATTAATCAATTATTTATTTTGAGTGGTAGTATAATTACAACAACTATAAATAATGGGTCATTGTCAAATTAATCGTGGAAGAATCTCAGCTTAATTAATTTAGTCAAATTAAAATTTAATTAAATATCAAATTTGCTGCGTCTGGTCCTGGCGTCACACTCTTATGTTTTTGTAATATACTCATTAAATTATTATAAAATACATAAAATATTAAATTAATTATTAGTACTATAGATATCAATATGTAGGTGCATGTGATGGTGGTGGATTTTTATAATATTTAATGTTAGAGAAATGTGGTATGAACAATAATTGATTATTGAATCTTTAATATCAAACATATATATATACACACACACACACACACACACACACATAAAGTCATTGATAATTTACTATGATATAATAATAATAATAATAATAATAATTGTGATGGATACAAGAAATTCTTGAAAGATTTAAAAGTGAGAGAGAAAAAAAGTTTTGAACTTTGAACAACAATCTTATAAAAGAAGCAAAATCACAAAAAGGGTTTCAAAGTTTTGGTCTCGAAATATCAACCAACCATTTATGTCTTTTAACTCGGGTGATTACTCTTGCATTTTCCATCCTCATCCGTTGGTTTCCACAATTGAAACCCTTTTAGGGTTTTTTCTTTTCGGATTCTCCTATTTTACTTTTTTCCTCATTCGTTATATGTTTAATCCAAAATTATACAATGATAAAAAATTTCACCTTATTTTCATATAATAAAAACACTAAACAGATATTTCTCGTTTTACTATCAATTATATAATTTATTATATCTTAATTACAAATTATACATAAAATATTCGAGAATTATTATTTTAAAATTAGAATTTTATATATAAAGTCTAAATTTCTTTAAAATATTTACATAAACTCGGATCGGGTATCATATAATATACAATAATATTGGGATGGACAAAAGTCAAAAAATTAAATTTGTATATTTGATTATATAATTCAAATACCACTAGCCTAAGCCTCTTGTTTCGTATAAAGTTTCAAATATAGGTTTAGAATGTGGAGATTTGTATAAAGTAAGATGAAGATTGGAAAAGGGGAGAGAATATTTTCAAAGATATTGAGTATAAATTCAATTGGGGTTTCACTTTTTTTCTAAGTCTAAAAAGTGGGAATTTTGTACTGGTTGGCCTTGTCGATAACAAAGCCGACCTAGTTGTGTGTCCCTCGTTGTTGTTGTAGGGCATTAATTTGACAAGAACAACCAAACACCAACAATATATATATATATATATATATGTATATATATATTTGATTATCCTACTATTTCTTAGTGTATTTTAAGGAATAAAATGATGCATTTAATTAAAAAAAATTAATTATTATATAATTTTTATTTCATCTAAATACATCATAATTTAATAAGATAAAATTTAATATTACAATTTTACTTTTATTAATATATTAATAAATTAAATTATTAATATTACTGAATCAGATATTATAATTTGATTATTATTAATTTATATTATATTTAAAAAATAAAAAATAAAAAATTTATTATGTTTAAACACAATATAATAAATGGTAATTACCAAAATATTAATCTAACGGTCATTCTATTTCCTAGACTTATAGTGGAAAGTAGAAGATTGTTAAATATATATTTTGGGTGTTCATATAATATATATATATATATATTATGTTATAATTTTATATGAATAAGCAAAAATTCTAAAATTACAATTATTATTTAATACGAATTGCAGCTTTTGCACTTATTCCAACTTTTGTTCTATAAAAAATCCAATTTTTTTTTTTTTACAAAAATAGGAGTAAAATACATTTATAGATATAAAATTATGTATTATTAACATCTATATTTCAGTAAAGATAAAGGGTGTGTGGAGAAATTAAAATTACACAACTTATTTTTATATTATATAAGAATGAAGTTCATTTTATATTTTTTATAAAATTTAAAATTAACAAAATTAAATTAATTTTTTAGAAGAGTAAGAATAAAAAAAAGAAAATGGGAAATTGGAATATGCCGTATTGGGTGGTTGCAAAATCAACTCTTGCTACTATTCCAAGAACCTATTCCCATTTGCGTTTTATCCCAAAAACCAATAAACATATAAATTTTTAAATATATTTTAAATTTATATATTTGCGTGTGATTAAAATAAATTATGACGATCATACATTTTTATTAAAAAATTACAT